ACACTTTATTTCGGTAAATGCTCTTTATATCTATCTTATTTAAAAAGTTTTGTTCTAAACGTTGAACAGATGCAGAATTAATAAATTTATCGATGAAGATAATAAAAACAAGGAAAATTATGACGTACTTTTTTCGATGACATTCAATAAATACTTATCCAGTAAGAGTAAACTTCACAGAATATTTTGACTATTGAAAAGTTTTTTCTATATATAGAAAGTGGTTGCTTCAAGCATTCAATTTAGCACAATATATTAATTTATTGTTCTAATTTATAGCGTTTTATGTCTCGATAACCACGGGATAATGGAGAAAATTTATTTTTTCTTAACATACACTTAGTATTTCCCATAATTATGCACACCTATATATGGCTGATGCTGCTCATTTTTATTTCTTAATTTTCCTAAATGCATTCTCACTGGTATTCGAGTAATGATCAAACTTATACAAGGTTATGAAAGTTGCATTGTCTTCGGCGACTACTGTATGTAGTTCAGTCAAGTCGAAACACTTTGCATTTTGGATTATCGTACTAAAATATATTTTCAAAGACGTAGGAAGCTTTTTTGATTAAGAGAGGAAAGTCGATCTTTCTTGTATTCACTTTATCTCAAAATTTCAATAAGGAGTTGATATTGGTGCACTTCTTTGTTCTTTTACTTGCTTTTACATGCCATGCTAATTATCACGTGAATATTATTCGTTAGTTTAATAATAATTTACTATAATTGTCTGCCTTTCTACGGTTTACTATAAATTTATTTTTCTTTCCTGTGATATGGCCCTAACCTACAATCATGGTAACAACGGTACAGCAAGAGAAAATTTTGGGGCAAGAGATATATGAGGACCAAAGCCAATGTTATTGTGGGCATTCAATTTGCCCCAGCTATATTTAATGTGTTTCATACTCATGGCTCACTAATATAAACATTGGACGCAAAGCAGAGGAAAAATCAAATATGGGTGCAAGCACTGTTGGGGTTAAAACAAATATGGACGTACGGTTGATGACGCAACATTTCACTGAACACCTACCGCCCACTCAGACCTCGCATAAACAGTTATCATCAACAATACCTAAGCGCGCGTGATTCTAATGCCACGTATGCTACGTATGCTCGCCAAATACTCTTTTGAATTTGCATTTAGCATTTAATGCATGAACGCGGCTTCTCCTTTATGCAACAGCTCATCTCTGGCCAGATAAGTGAGCCTATCCCACGGGTTCAGGCACGCATTTGAACTGCTGGTCAGCAATGACAGTTTAAACATTAATAAGGGAGAGCCTGCCCGGCTGTTGCAAAACGTCAGCAAAGATAAAAGCTCGTTCCGGTGTGCACTCACATGTCCTCCAGTAAAGTTTATAATGTGAGCAGAGGCCAAACGCAACAAAGTAAATCATTATTCTAGCTGGTACCAGTTGTTGCGAAACGATATTTAACGGCGGCGGAAAAAACGATATTATTGGTTTAACCACGGACACAAAAAAACCCAGCATTTTTTATGTGACTAGTGGTAATAAAGATAATACGTATGAAGCATTACGGCGCGCAGAAGGCAAAGTGATATAAATAAAGCATACATAAGGAAAAATATTAGATGTTCTTATTAAAGGAAGGTTATTTATAGCAACGCAAATGTGCGCGTTAATTGAAACTAAACTCTAAATAGGCACAATTAATTTAAAAAACCGATAACGGCGAGCATATATAAGCAGAGGTTTTTCAAGAAAATTAAGACGGAAAAAGCAAGGGAGTATACAGTGTAGGCGTTACTTTATAAAACATGCAGATTAGAAGTGTAAATTATGGCTTGATTATGTAGGGTGAGTTGACATAACGAGGCTTAGACCGGTATCAGTGGAAAGTGCACTAATGTGCTTCATTGCTTACATCCGATTTATAGCGTATTTTGCGATTAATCGCTACGCTGCTACATATAAAAGATGTTTACCCACGGTCGTACACAGCTGGCTATGCACGAAAGGGAATACAGATTTCACCTTGCTAAAAGGGAATGGGTTGACGCGTCGTCGTCCTCCACATGCTTGTCTTCAAAAGATGATTATTGTGGCGAAATCCACCTGCTTATAAAGGGGCATTTGTCGAATTTTCAAGAAAATTGCCATCAAAGTACTAGCACATTCTCAAGCAAATTCCGCTATTTTATCTCAAAATATGAATCTTGAATGCAAGGTATATTCGGATGTCTCCAAAGCTTGGTATGCCGTTTAGTCCAATTTCAGAATACGCTTAAGATCTTAAATCATGTGGACTGACTCTGATGTCAAATCAACTTTTGCAGTCGAATGTTATCAAAATCACCCTGTCTATTGCAACTATAATAAAACGCGTTTAAGCTTGTGTTATAGCACCAATTAAAATCAATGGAGGCCATAATGTCTTTAATGGAGTCTACAATCTCGGCTACATGCCCCTTTAACTCTTCCGTGATGCAGGGGCAACGCAAAATCCCGTGTCCGCTTCCTGCATCTTCTTCTTTTTCCATTGTTTACTGTACGTCTGGAAATGGCGATTTTAACCGCCCTTTGTCGTGGTTCATTGTACTCCACTAGATGACAGCCAATTTTTTTTGAAAAAACCAGAACATGCTTTCGAGCTCTTCGAAAATCAGCCTATTGAGGTTTTATAGTCCTATGTAGGCAATGAGCAGAGGGATACGGGATCCCGTTGTGATGACTTCTAATTGCTCATGTCTGATCCCTTTGACAACCAAATAGATGCAGTGAATATTGAGATACAGTAGAGAATAATGGGACGCAAATTTGAAGTTTACAAATTATGCCACAGATATTGGGCACGTCTTCGTCTTTGGCGCCCTATAACTTGTGGGCTGAGGTGACCAATGTAGGCTAAAGAAGCCTGGATTTCGAATGCTACATACGTCTGCCTGGCATCTATGCCCCTTAGCCTTATTAATCGGGTACATTTGAGGCGTAGAACAGTCGGAATCGCCAAATAGCTCTACTTTTAACATATATGTGCTTGGAATATGTCAAGACGAGGCGGAAGCCGACCGGAGACAACAGAGGGCCTACGCACGTGGACACAAACAAACAGTAGCGTCACAGTGACAAACAGGATAGAAACAAAAGCGGGATATGAGGCAGGCATAGTGGCTTACGCATCTATTCTTCCGTCAAACAAACTTAACTCAGCTGAGCGTGCGCAGGATTATAGTATATTCCCGTGAAAGCCAATGCCAGTAGCATCTTCGTTGCATATGGAGGGCATTATATAAACAAACGCCTTCTTAAACTTTTTAAACTGCCGCTATTAATCATCAAGTTTAATGTGTGACTGAACTTTTCGGCCTTTATGTTTCGTAAGTACCAAATACAGCGTTAATTATCGCAGATGAGCAAGGACGCAGGCCATGGCGACTCCGTGTCATGGTGTGGTACCATCCTTGAAGGATCGAAACTCCTTAATGAAACGAATGCATATATGGTATCGCCAATTACTGTATCAAAATTATACTCTAGAGGGACATTTTCCAGTTCGTTTCTTACACTCCCATAATATTGCATATCATGGAACATTTGCTTTAAACCGGTCATTATCTCCGTCGGTGTACTAACGTTAACTTGTAAATGCCGCGCATGTTTGCATAGCTCTTAATGACAAAGGTATTTATAATGAATTTATTTGCACACAAATAACTGTGCAGGACAGTGCGTGTGTGTTATTTTGGGCAACGTACCCGACCATTTCGTGTAATCAGCCGACTTAGGCAGCATCACGGTAGCATAGAATGTGCTCGCGAATACGTGCCGATAAGGCAAGGCAGGCGTGCGATTGCGTGGTTGCCAATATTAATGTAAAAACTGACTAACAGCAATTTAAATTTAGCTTATCGTCATTTCGGCTTATTGACTACAAAATACAGCAATTGTTATCCTAAATGGACTTTATTGTCTGGCCAGAAATCAACCTATGCATAAGGAAAAACTGCCCGCGTACCAAAAGCGATATGATAATTATGTATTTATTTATTAATTTCGCATACATTTAGACAAAGAGCGAGAATTGTTTGCACAACTGAGTATGCACCTGCATCTCCATCTGCACCAACGGTCTGATCTACAACTGCGAAGGCACAACTTGAACACGTTCAGACGGCTTCGACCGTTAGCACAGACTGCAGGGCAAGAACCTGTTCAAACTCTTCCGGCGTTTCGTCCTCCTCGTCATCACGGGCACCTTTGTGCTCTTTTTCATTCACCGCGCTCAAAGCCAGGTCCTCACTCTTTGCATCCTTCACTTCCAGCATCTGGTAGGCCGATGAGGTCTGGCATAGGAGTCCCTGCGCAACAATCAAAAACAGTACTAACGACAGGCTTTTCATTGTTGTGGTGTTAAGAACTTAATCAGGTACAGTATGTCTTTCTATATCATTATGTTCCTAAGTTGACTGTCGCCTTGCTTTTATATTTTCGCACCTGTATGTGGGTGGATTACTACAATCACGTGCCTCTAGGAACCACTGCCTGTATGTGCTAATTCAGAGGCATGACTGCATACGTGGTCATGTCCACCACAACCGCCGCAAAACTGCAATCTTAAGTGCATTGAGAATGACTGTTTACGCGAGGTCTGAGTGGGCGGTAGGTGTTCAGTGAAATGTTGCGTCATCAACCGTACGTCCATATTTGTTTTAACCCCAATAGTGCTTGGGTCCGTATTTTATTTTTCCGCGGCTTTGATCCTGTCTTAATGTTAGAGCATTTTGCGCACAAAGCAGAGCTTATCAATGAATGTAGTCGGGATAAGTTGTATGACAACAACTATCTAGAAAGATAAGCAAAGGGGATCACTATTGAACATTTAACTTAATACTACGTGATTTCGGCAGCCTCAATCACCCTTAGACGTCCGCCGCACTTCCACCTTGAATTCAGAATCGCCCTGTCAGATAAAAGCAGTTAATATTGGTATCAACCTTGAACTATATTTATGAACTTGGCGATCACTCAAAAGTGCCTGCAACTGCTCAGGAGTTACCTTCAAAATTGCGGAACAGACCGTTGGTGCAAATCGAGATGTATATGCATGAACAGTTGTGAAATGACTCTCGCTGTTTGATTAAATGTATGCAAATTAAACAAACAAATGCACAATAAGCACATCAGTTTTGGTACGTGGGCCGTTCTATTTTATGTACCATTTGAACTCTGGCCAGATAATAAAGTCCATCTGGGATAAGGAGCGCTGTATTTGGTAGTCAAAAAGCCGAAGAACCGAAAATGTTAGGAGCATATCCTAATTGCGCGTGGACAATGGCCGTTTACACTTTGACAACGAAGATCTGTTCAGAATTAGTTATTTTAGTGTGGGTCGCAAAACCCAAAGATTTCTTCCGGTAAAACTCACTACACAAACCTGACATTGGCAACTGCGCAACCGCGCACATGCCTTTAAGCCTCACATTATTGACACGTATTCGCAAGCATAATTTATGCTAACGTGATACTGCCTTAGTCGACTGATTACACAAAATGGTGGAGCTCGACATTCAAGTACCACCAAAAGAATTTCCTGCACTGAAGCAGTCATAAAAACAATTCCATTTGCCAAAAGTAAATTCTGGTAGATTGACTTTCAACTGCGATTAATAAAAAAATCTTAGAAAAGTGCGGGCAGACAAACAGTTTTCTGTTGGCAGATATTATCGTCAGCCTATGTATACTATGGTGTGTATACTGTCGTTTAAGATGGTTCGAACTCTCCTAAAGTGTTCACCATCTGGGATGGACTATTTCAAGGTTAACCATAGAGTTAGCAGCCAGGATTACCTAAACTGATAAGAGGAGGCTGGCTTCAGTTGAAATAAGGTTGAAGATAATGATCGGTTTGAAGGAGGCGTGCGATAGCATTGGTGCGTCTAAGCATGACCCTATTTCTCTTGTGGCCTAGGAAAACTAACTGGCAAAATTAATTAATATTTTCAGTAAAAGTAGTTTATGTAGGCCCACTCATATACCCCTAGTCCAAGCATTTTGTCCTGCAAAAACGGTTGTTATAGAGTTTTAAGGGGTGTGTAAAGTGAAAAAAAATGTAGTTGAAATTGCTTCCCGCGGCCACTGAGAGTAAATTGTTCCGCATGTAAATTGAAAGTGTGGGCGGCGCTTCGCGCCGCGGACTATACTAATCTAACTCCAGGACGGTAAGTTG